GGAGGGTTGCCCAGGGCTGTGCCAGGCTGCCCAGGGCAGTGGTGGAGTCCCCACCCCTGGAGGGGTTCCCAAGCCGTGGAGATGTGGGGTGAGGGACACGGGGCAGTGGGGACCTGGCAGAGCTGGGGGAAGGGTTGGACTCCATGATCTGAAAGGTCTTTTCCAACCAAAATGATCTCAACCCAAATATTCCTTTGCCAGTCTCACTTGATGAGCATAAACTGGGCAAATGTACCCGGGCCCAGGACTCAGCCAGTGGTGTATCCTGGCAAAGGGTGAGGATCTGAGAGCCACTGGTGGGGCAAACAAAGGGACAGTCCCCCTGTACCTGGCTGCCCCTGGGCTGGGCTCGCTGTGCCTCCACTCCCCTGGGCTCACTGTGGTGGGCTGGGTTTGTCCTTCACAAGCTGGAGTGATCCTGCTCAGGGAGGAGGAGGAGGAAACCTGCTTAGCATTTGTGCCTAAAGCTGCCCAGGGGGGTGAGCACAGGCAGTGACACCAGGACCCAGCCAAGGAATGAGCCTTTGGAATGGGTTTGAAGAGGGAGAAGAAGACAGTGCCCACCCCAGCCCCCCTGGCTCCCTACCTGTCTTGGCCAGGGCTGGATTCGTTGGCACCCTGGGTCTCTGGAGCACTGGTGCTGCTTCCTCTGGGTGGGGAGCTGAACCTGCCAAGACAGAAGAGCATCACAGCCTGCAGAAGTGCCACCATGCACACAATTGCTGCAGGGTGGGGCTGGGGAATCTCCTGCTGCAAGGCAAGGGCAATATCCCTGCGTGGGAAGGTGCCAGAAAACCCAAGGAGATGGGGAAAAATAAAATAATTGAGGAACAAGACAGATCTCTTCAAAAACAAGCCTGGAAAGAAGGTAAAATAAAGCTCCTGATGAGCACCAGTTGCCTCTTTAGTCTTTCCAAAGTGGCATTTTAACCATGGTCATTTAGTTGTGACCATTAGGGGTTATCCAGTAATTATTATCCAGTAATTTCAGACTGCTGGGAGCAGGAGTTGACCTCACCTGGGTCCCACCTCAGAAGGGTACCCAGGAGCTAAACCCACTGCAGAGCCACCCTGGGTTTACACCTGGCTGCATGGTTCTAGGGAGAAGTTTCTTCACTGTGTTTGTACCCTTGTGCCCACCAACCCCTCTGGGCATCCTGGAACCCTGGAGGAAACCTGGAGCTGGTCTGGATTCTCTCTGTAGCTTGGGAAGCTTGAGGGCTGGTCTAAAGGATCCTTCTCACCACATCTCCACAGCTCTGGAACATCTCCAGGGGTGGGGACTCCACCACTGCCCTGGGCAGCCTGGCACAGCCCTGGGCAACCCTCCAGGGCAAGAAATTGTTCCTCAGGGACAACTGAAACCTCCCCTGGGGCAACTTGAGGCCCTTTCCTCTTGTCCTGTCCCTTGTCCCTTGGGAGCAGAGCCCGACCCCCCCCTGGCTCCAGGCTCCTGTCAGGAGCTGTGCAGAGCCAGAAGGTCTCCCCTGAGCCTCCTTTGCTCCAGGCTCAGCACCCCCAGCTCCCTCAGCTGCTCCTCCCCACACTTGGCCTCTAGACCCTTCCCCAGCAGCTCCGTTGCCCTGCTCTGGCCACGCTCCAGCCCCTCAGGGTCCTTCTTGGAGTGAGGGGCCCAAAACTGACCCTAGGATTTGAGATGCAAATACAGAGAAAAGCAAAGAAATCAGTCCACCAAGTCCTTCCCTTTGGCCACTGAGCCCTGCCCTGCTTGCAGGAGGCAGGCTGGGGGCTCCCAGTCAGAGCCAGCAGAGTCCCAGCTCACTGGGGAGGAAACTGGTCCTGCAGAGGGTGACCAGGGCACTGACTGGGTAAGGTGGGAAAGGAGACCCAGTGTCACCCCAGAGGAGTCACCCTGGGCCAGATGAGGTGGGTTATTGGCATTTGTCTCTAGAGACACCCTCTGCTTCCAAATGTAAGGTGTAGGCAGCTCTCCCTGGCAGTGTTTGATGCCTCCAGCTTATGAGCATGTTTTCTCCCAAGCTTTCAGACAAAACTATGGTAAAAGGTTCACTCAGCAGAAGCAGCACTAGAATCTGGCATGAAAGGGGAGCCTGGGAGAAGATTTTATCAGCTGATGTATGTGGGGGAAGACACATGAGGAAGGAACAGGAAAAAGCAGAGGGACAATGACCCAGTTCCTCACCTAGTCATGCTGGGCTCATGATCAGTGTGTTCCTTCAGCCTGGGAAGCTCTGTGTGGACATCCTGCTCAGGAGGTCCTTGTCCCTTCTCAGGAGGTCCTTGTCCCTTCTCAGCATGGCTGGTTGAGTCTGAAAACCTAAAATAAAGATCTGTGCTTAAGGAGGCAGAGAGAAAAACACCACACTGGGGTGGGTGAACATCCATTCCCTAGACACAGCCATCAGGAGACACTCTGGTCTATTCCAGACTCTTCCAACCCTTCCAGGGCAGATTCCTGGTGGGAATCATGAGCAGCAATCCCATTCCAGCTCCCAGGACCTCAGCTGAAGGCCTCTCAGCCACGAGCACTGCAGAAGGAAGATGTTGGGCACAGGAGAAATCACTCCAGTCAGGATTCCTTGGGCTGACAAGCACTTCTGGCAGCTCAGGCCACACTCCTGCCTGATTCTGCAGCCTCCAGGTGCTCAGATGGTGCTTGCTGAGATCTGTGGGCAGCAGAAGCTATGATGGCACTGAGGGAACCAGGCTGGTGCTGAAGGAACTGTCACTGCTGCCAGGACAGAAAGTCTCTAGGGCTTCACACAGCGTGCTGTGGGTGTCTCACCCCACTGGGAGCTGCTGGGATTCCCTGCTGCAAGGTGCCATTGCAAGGTCCCCACTCCTGGGGGCCAGGCAGAGGAGCTGCTCTGTGCTTTGGCTCGTGGTGGGAGCACAAGAAGACATGAGGAATTAGGAAGAGAAGAGCTCCTGTAGGTGAGTCCCACTGGCCACTTACCCTCCTTGGCCCAGCTCTGCTTTGTAGCCATCAGGGTCCCCTGTGTTCTCACTCCCCCCTTCTCCAGGGGTGCTCCCAGCACTGAAATCTTGGGGAAACCTGGCCAAGGAGAAGAAACCCCACTCGTGGCTCTGAGGCACAACCCCCTGAGAGCTCAGTTCAGTGCCTGCTGAGAAGACAAAGCCAGGAGGCTTTGGAGGGGGATGCCCCAAGGGCTGAGCTGCACACAGCACAGCCAAGCTCTGGCCCCAGCGTGGCCCAAAGCCCTGCTTGGAATTCAGCAGGTGAGCTTGGGCTCCTGTTTGCTTATCTAGGGGGTCAGGGACCCTTCTGGGGAGCACTGTGGCTGCCTCACATCAGGTTTTGGGGCACACAGTGCTGTAGAAGTAGTGATGATGATGATGATGCTGATAGTTGCTTGGCTGCTTTTCCTGTGAGTTTTCAGAGCCCTTTGCCATCTCTGCACTAGGCTGCAGACCCCAAGGCTGCAGAAGCTGGACCAGCCCAGGCAAATGGATTCCCTGGAGCACACCCCAACTATCCTACTGCCCCAGCTCCTCTCTGCCTCAGTGCCTTGGGCCTCTCCCTGCAGAGGGCACAGGGGAGGGGTGGGCAATGCCCAGGCACATCCCAGCCCAGGGCAGAGCTCTGTCCAGGCTGACAAGCACAGGGCAGTTCAGAGCTGCTGAGACCAACAGCCCTGCTGACACTGCTGGTCCTCTGCTTGGTACTTCCCCAGCCAGCAGGACTTCCAAAGCTTTCCACAAGAGCAAGGACAGGGTGAGCAGCCCAGGCTCTTACCTGGCTTCCTCCCAGTAAGCTGAGACCTCAGGACTCAGGGGTCTGCCCTCTTGGGTGCTGCTTCTCTCCTCAGAGCCCAGGACAGATCTGAACATCCAAAAAATAAAAGCAATTTTCAAATTTTCAGCCCCCTCCCTGCCACATCTCTGCAGCTTTTCACTGGATCATCAGCAAAGGAGAAGGTTGAACCTGAACCCCAGCACACACAAGGGAAGGAAGGAGCTGGAGAGCTTGGCTCCTATCAGAGCAGAGGGGGGAGGGACACAAGACAAACTTTGTGGTTTAGTTTACAAGCTGCACTTGAAACCTCAGCCCAGTTGCCTTGATCCTGGGGACAGAAGCTGTGCCCAGCAGCCTCATTCTGTGCCTGCCCATCCAGATTCCCCTTAATCCTCAGCATTACTCACACAGCCACTACATTTACCCCACTCTTACCCTGTAAAGGAATATTCTGTGTTCTCTGGGGGCACAGGGGCTCTCTCAGGCAGAGAAGGGACATCAGACTGCAAGCTGGACCTGCCAAAAAAAAATAGGCAGGTATCTACAGCTTGCCAAAGGCTTCAAGGGGGACTTGAAGTAACATCACTGTATTTATGGATAAGAGCAGAAAGCAGAAGGTGATTTTCTCAGCTTTGCCTTCAGAAAAAACATCTTCAGCCTGTAAGCAAGACCTGAAGCTGTTGGTGGGACTGGGGCAGTGGCCTGGCCTTGGCTCACACACACACACAGGACTCCCCTGGCCTGGCATGAGGTTGTGCACCCAAGGAGAGCACAGTGGGAATAACTCTGGGGAAGATGTTCCTACATTCCTAGCAGCACCTCTAGCTCTTGGGGATTTACACTGTCCTACACTCCTTGTGATCCTCCTCACCTCAGCTGGGAGGTTTGAAGGCATCATTTTCTCCCCTCGAGGCCTTTGATAAGCCAATACATGAGGACAAGGCCCAAATAAAGGACTAAAGTAACCACAGAAAGCAGCTTGGGGAAGATCAGTGTGTTTGGTGTCAAGAGCAGCAACTCTTCCCTGCCTCTGCTTTCAACTCTGGCTGAGTCCCTTGCTCCCCCCACCCCAGAGATGCCCCCTGAGGGCAGCACTGTCAGCACCAGCCCTGACCTTGCAGGTTCAGACTTTGCATCCTCCAGGCACTGGGAGGCTTCATAGGACCAGTGCAGCTTCTCCATGGCACCTGCAGGTCTGTCCCCACAGCCAGAGCTGGGCCTGGGAAGAGAAGGAGATTCCTGGGTCACAGAGGGGAGCTGAGCAAGTTGGAGAGCAGAGGAAGCAGCAAAAAATATCAGCTGTGGGTCTTCCCATCCCAATCAGCTTCTCCTCCTCCCTGCTGAGCTCAGTCCCTCCCCTGCAGCAGACCTGCAGGGCAGAGACACAAACCCAACCACCTCCCCTGTCCAAGGGAAGGAGCAGGAAGAGCTCAGTCCATTTTCAGCTGGTGGATCAGGGAGAACCCCCTTTTTGCTAATACTGCTCCCAGAACACCATTTTTAGGGCAGGGAAAAGCCCCCTCATGCTCCAAAATCCAGGAGAAAGCAAATTTCACACTGGTTTACACTCACTTTGATGAGTAAAATCCATTGTTGGCTTCTGTGTATTCAGCATAACTGAAAAGGAGAGAGATCAACTTTAGAAAACACCTTTGCTTTGGGTAGTGCTCTACAATTATTTTCTTCTCCATGGAATAAGAGAAGGAAATCCCTAAAACTTCCTAGAATTGCTCCTCAATCCATTTCCTTTTGTGGTTGGGAGGTTGGTTTGGGGTTTGGTTCTTTTTGGGGGATCTCTTGTTGCAAAAGTAAAGAGGTAGGTGGAGGTTGGAGGCCTGCTGAGCCATGGGGTGTGAACCTCTGTGCTGTAAAAACAGAACTTGATACTCAAATTTTCTGGGAGTAAACCCAGAAAATGCAGAAATGACCCAAAAAAATGATTTTTTTTTGTATTGTAGAAGCTAAAGGAAAAAAAAATGGAACAAAAGATCAAACAACTTGCTTGAAGAGGGCACCATTTTCTTTTTCTTCTCCCTTCTTCAGTAAAACTTTAAAGCAACTGCTGCAGTTCTGCAAAGCCCAGATGGACCTGGGCTTTTCCAGCAGGAAATGTCCCCTCAGAGTTTCCCCACACAGCTCAAGAGCAGCAGCTGGTGGTTTGCACAGGGAAGGAGTTTCACACTAACTCTACCTTCCACTGGTGGGATCCAGGGGTGCTCTGGGGGCCCCTCCATCCTGAGGGAGTGGCTCAGACTCTTCCTTTGGAGGCTTGTGACTAGAAACAAAAGGGAAAAGCCAATGAGACATGGCCTGATAGCACTTAAACTGCACCATCCCAAACTAGCCTACTAATATTTAGGTATGAGGAGCCCAAAATGGGGCTGACCCAGTGTATGGAGAGAGGAAGGGTCAGGCTGAGCACAGTGAGCCTGACAGAAGCATCTCCCTGCAGTGAGGTGCTGCCAACCCCTCTGCTCAGGGGGGTGTAGGAACCCTCCAACACTTGTTCTCTGTCTCCTCATGGGCCAGAAAGGTCCTACCACAGCTCCACCAGCCAGAACCCCACCCCATCTTTCACTCCCTGTGTGTCTGTCTGTCCTTCCCTGCCAGTTATTCCCTCTCCAGCTCTAGGGAGCTGCAATAATGAGGCATCCTCTCATTTCCCTGGGAGACTCTGCCTCACCAGGGGACCCAGCTGAGCCCCAGGACAAGGAGCACCCTGTGATCAGTGGCCCTGCAGGGCCAGGCAAGGATGTGTCTATGGGCCACCACAGTAGTGCAGCCTCAAGCACTCTAGACTTTGCTTCAGCCCCAGGTACTGGTTTGGGAACATTTTGAGCTTTATTTTCTCTCTCTCTCTCTCTCTCTCTCTCTCTCCACTGCAAGTTCTGCCTCACTCCTGCAGCTACAGCAGCAGAGCTCTGCCCCTCACTGTGTCCAGCACCCACACCCCAGCCCTTAGGTTCCAAATCAGCTCCTTCTTTCCTGAGTTTTCCTTCACCCAACAGAGGTTTTTACATTTTCAGACCTTCTACAGGTTGCAGAGGACCACAACTGATGTTAGTAGGAGCCACCAGCAGGTTCAACACACCCCTTGTTGGTGGCAGAAGCTCCCCAGGGAACAGCAGTGGGAGGACAGTTGGAGTGGTTAAAAATAAATCCCTTCAAGGAGACTCTTTAGGGACTGAGCCAGAGAGGAGAATCCTTGAGGGAGGTGAAGGAAGAGTGGAGAAAACCAAGTTGCCAGCAGATGATGCTCTTGGAGTGCAGCCCAGGAGCAGGAGCAGGCCTGGAGTGATCCCATCTGCCTGGGAGCAGTGGCAGGCACAGCCTATTGCTGAGCAAAAGGCAGAGTCCCAGCCTGTGCTCAGCACCCCAGAGCAGCCTCCCAGCTCCTCACCTCTCCCCGTGCTGGGGCACAGCTTCAGATGAGGGTTCCCCAGCAGGGGCCTCTCTGTTTGCACCATTCCTGCAAGGAGAACAGCAGGAACAATTAGGTAGGAGGATGAGGGGACAGAATGTGAGGCACAGGGACTCTGTGCCAAGGTGCTTGTTGGGAGCATGCTCCATACAGCACAGGGACTGGGCTGAAGTGGAAGCTTGAGTGGTTTAGGAAGCAGCAGGGTCTGCAGGTTTTGGGCTCATATTCTCCTCAGAAAGGACCCTGTTCAAGCTGTGGGAGGCTCACAGCTCCCATCTGGGCACCTTTCCTCCCACAAGGCTGATGCTTTTTGGGTGGTGCTGCTTTCCTAGATTCCCTGTGCTACAGCATGGAGTGTTCCAGGACTGCACCATGCCCAGAATGATCCCATGGAGCTGGGGAAACACCAGCAAGCCCTCCAGAGCCACAGGGCCCTGCAGCAGAGCTGGAGGGTGATGCAGGGCTAACAGATCTACCTGACTTCAGCAGAAGTGGAGACCCTCTCTGGAGCATCACTCAAGGATGTGGTAGTTGGGCTCTTGCTGCCTGTCTCAGGGCTGCAAGAGAAGGCAAAGAAAGAAATGACTCCTGAAGAAAGCAGCTCCCCCACCAGTATTCCTGCACTGGAGTGTTCCTTTGTGGCAACAAATGGGAAACAAACTCACTGGTTCCAACACACCCACTCAAAGGCAGAAGCAATTTTGAAGGGAAATCCACTGACATCAGCAGGACTATCTCCCTTCTACACCCACAGGATAAAACCAGCAGGACAAGGTCAGCACCCAAAGCAGCCTCAACCTTTTTTTTTTACAGTCTCAACCTTTTTTTGACAGCCTCAACCTTTTTTTTTACAGTCTCAACCTTTTTTTTTTACAGTCTCAACCTTCTTTTACAGCCTCAACCTTTTTTTTTTACACTGTAGTTATGAATTCAGCCAAATGGACAAAGTGGAAAGCAACCGAAAATCATTTCCCCTGCCTGGTGTTCATGAGTTCAGCACGTTTGGGGTTTTCCCTTTCAGGTTGGAGCACTCCTCTCAGGATGTTGTCAGATCCTTGCAGGGCTTTGGGTCTGAAATCTCTGTTAACACAACTGTCTGCACCTCAGGAAAGTCTCCCATGACAAATCTGCTGCATTTCCCCTCCCACAAATCTCAGCCCTGCAGCTACACGTGGGCTGATAGGGCCACAGAAAGGTGCCCAAGACACCCTGGCTGTGCTGTAACACTCACCTGGAGGAGGACACTGCTGCTGGCTTTGGCTCCTGCCAGGGAGACCCACTGGTGGCTTTTCTTAGTCCATTAGGACTGTAAAAAACACCCAAACAAGTCACAAAGCATTAAAGAGAGAAGATTTTCTAGGTGCCTTCTCCTCTGGGGGCACATCCTGCTTCCTGGCCCACAGCTCTTGTGTCTGTCCCTGGGCAGTGAGACCAAACTGACTGACACACAGTTGTCCCTGGGTCACTGGTGTGACCAGTCTCTGTCTTTCAGCTGAAATACCTGCTCTCTAGGCACTGCCTTTTCCTCCTGAAAGCAGCTGGAGCTGTTCCTGCCCCTGGTGTTTGAGTCTGCACTAAACCCCAACCTCCCCAGCTGTAGGGATCCCAGCCCAGGGCACTCCCAACACCAACTTCACCACGTGTAACACGTGAGGAAAGGAGGGTCACTGCTGCCCAGCCCTGCCACAAACCTGCACAAGGCCACAGACCCACTACCAAAATTCATGAGGCAGCTCCTCCAGCCTGAAAATAGAGCACTTGGGGCTGAAAGGCCCCATTTATTGGCCTCCCTGCTGGGCCCACTGAGGCCCAGAGTGGCAGAGAAGCTAATAATGCTGCTGCCTGGCACAGAGCCACCCCTTGGAGCAGGAGCAGGGAGCTGAATCCCAAATTAAATGAAGCTGCTTGAAAATAGAGAAGGATTCTCCCTCCTAGGGCAAAGATTTCCATTCCAGCCAAACGTTTCTGGGGACTGGTCTTGCTCAGCCCCACGCCACGTGCCAGCTCTGCTCCTGACTAAAGGGGGGAGCCCCCCCAGCCCCTGGGCACCAGAGCCAGCCTGTCCCAGGTCTCACACACCACAGCAAGAGCTCCCCAGCTTCTCTGTCACAGCTCCACACGTGCTGGGGCTTCACAGGAGCTCCTGAGAGGGGCTGGGGGCTTAAAAAGAGGCCAAGGCTTCCCATCGAAGCAAAGATCAATTTAAAGGTAATGAGCCTCTCAAACCTCTCTGGTCACACCAATCTCTTGCCATTGCACTAAAATAATTAAATCTGGAGCCTAACGAAGGCAGAGAGCTGGCTCAGGGGGCTGGAATAGGAGACAGTGAGGATTTCATGGCCTGGGGATGGGGTCAGTTCACGTGGCTGAGCTCACTGGTAAAAGGAAATTGTGGCTCTCTGCTGGCTGCTCTGACTCCTCCCAGGAGCTGGATTTCCAGGGGTGCTGCCAGGCTCATTCCTGGGGCACCTGAGCACCTTGGAATCATGGAATTGTTTAGATTGGAAAAGACTTTTAAGCTTCTGGAGTCCAACCCTTCCCCAGCACTGCCAGGTCCCCACTGCCCCGTGTCCCTCACCCCACATCTCCACGGCTTGGGAACCCCTCCAGGGGTGGGGACTCCACCACTGCCCTGGGCAGCCTGGCACAGCCCTGGGCAACCCTCCAGGGCAAGAAATTGTTCCTCAGGGACAACCTCAACCTCCCCTGGGGCAATTTGAGACCATTTTTTCCAGTCACCCCCAGGGCTGTCACTCTTTATGGTCCCTCTGCCTGCCCGTTGGGTTCACCCACTCCACCAATGTCATTTTTGTTTTTCATTTGGATCTTTCCCTTTTTTCCTGAAATAAAAGGGCAATTGGGTTTTTCTGAGAAGTGTTTTTTGAGAAACCTTCCAGGGTGAGGTGAATACCTGTTGCCATCTGCTGTTGACCCACAGGAACCAGACACAGTCAGACTCCTCCTCTGCTGCCCTTCCTCTTCCTCTATCTCAATCCTTTTAAGAGGCAAAAAGAGAGACAAATATCACCCTGCTTCCAAGTGCCCTGCTAGCCAACCCAGGCACCACATTCTAGTTTCCCCTCAAGCTGTGCTTCCCTGGGAGGCAGATTCCTGCTCCTCATCCTCCCTGTGCTCTGCTACTGGTGAGCACCTCAGCTGGCTGCAGGAGGGGAGATCTCCAGCTCCAACCAGCAGCTCTTGGCTGTCACAGTCCCTTCCTAAATAGCATCAGTTGAACACTTAAATT